CTGCTTCTTCCCACACCTCTTCACTTTTTCCCATACGCCCTGGCTCTCCTTGGCCAGCTCTATTGCTGCCGACAGTCTCAGCGGTCCCTCTTTCAGCACGTCGTGACGAACACGCTCGTCATAGCGCCTCTACATACAGGTCCGCCAGTTGGGCCTGCATAACCGCATTATCTCTGACCACTTCCGGGAATGCCAATGACGACAGCTTCCCTGCTCGGGCCCCCAATTCTCCCGGGGTTTCATCCCGCAGCTGTGTTAGTTTTAGGAGGGCCCTCATGGCCTCTATGGCTGTGCCCTCGTCGGCGAACTCCCCGGTCAGCAGTCTTTTTAACCCTTCCCAAGACAAGCGGGGCTGACTCTCCAAGAGCTCCTTCACGAACTCAGATGCTTTCCCCTTTGTGGCATCGTATGCCAAATACAGGGGTTTCTTGGTCTGAAAGCTCGTAGATAATTCGGCTCTTCTCTAGGATTGCCAGCCAGCCTTTAAATTCTTTCCCGCTGCCGTCAAATACTGGGACCCTCGGTCCACCTAACAGCTTTCTTAAATCAACTGACAACCCCTGTCTTACTTCCTCTTCGCCCCCCACTGCTCTATCTGAATCATAGTCTGACATATCTAAGGAGAAAGACTATCTATGCAGCAACAATCGAGGTTGGGAAATAAAATAAAGTGTCCTACCTTACAGACGATTCTGTTCTCGTTCCTTTCGTTCCCGGGTCGTTTTGAGTCCTGTTTGAATCTTCAGCAACGGCGGTCGATCGATGTGATGTGACGTGGTTGTCTCAGGGTTGAATCCTTTGGTCACGGCACCAACTGTGACGTCGCCCCTCCTTGGTCGCAGCGTCGACTCTGTCGTTCGATCTCGTTCGCGGCTCCAACTGTGACGTGACGTGGCCGCCCAAGGGTCGATCCTTGTCACGGACAGCACCAGTTGTGACGTTTTTTTGCCGCGGCGTCAGCTGTTCGCTCCTCGCTGCTCCAAGTGTGACGTTCCAACCCTCTGGTTAGATGATTACCAGCCTCGCCGTTCCCAACTCGCTTCCAACACCTGGTTACTAGAGTAACTGTACTGATCTCCGGTCTGCCTACCCACGTTGTGATTAGATCTTAGACAGACGGGATCAAACAGGAGTCGGGGCCGTATGCCAGATGGGTTCAACGGGGTGGCAACACACAAGTAAAAAAAAAAAAAACTCACGAGGCAAAAAATTACTGATAAGAAAGGGTAACAACCTTTTATATCTAATGTTCGTTACATAAAAATTATTCTTACTTCCCGACCCGTTTTGTGGACTGTGGCACCAAGCTTCTATCATACAATTTAAAGACTTCGGTTGCCTACTCTCTAGAATTTTTGTATGTCGGGTGTGGTTTGGTTTCGACACTGGGCGCTAATCTCTACCAGTCGTTCACGGCTGATTCTTCTCTTCGGCTTGAGGTTGGACGAGCTTATTCGCTTCGGCTTGAGTTGGACGTATTTCTTCACTTCGATTTGGGTTGGACGAATTTCCCCCCTCAGGCTTGGCCTGGTTTCAACTTCTTCTAGACGCAACTGCAGTAACTTCTTCTTCTTCTTCCGTCCTGCAACTCTTCTCGCCAAGGTCCGAACTCTTCTCTCTGCCGTCTGGGGTGAACTCTTCTCTCTCTGCCTTCCGGGGCTGAACTGATTTCTGTCGATTGGGGTTCTGCTTTTATTGACGCCGCAACAAACTGGGGTGGGTCTGTCGGCGTCAGGGTTTTCTTGATAATTCAAAAGTCGCATTAGTTCTGATTTCCATTATCGCTCTTATTTTCACCCCTACTTCCTCACAGTGCCTCTGGGGGACGCATACCCATCTCTCCCGGTCTCTCGTATGTCAGGTGACCGTTTTTTCGACCAATGGGTCCTGGTCGAGCGTCCTTTCTCCTCTTTCTCGCATATCACGTGACCGCCTTCGGCTAATGAGATTCTGGTTGGGCGTCTCCCGTCCTTCGTGACGTCTCCAATCGGGCGTGGTCTATCCCGGCTTTGTTCTGGGAAAGAACCACCTTGCTAAAAAAACAAAATCAATTTGGCCTTTTCGCACGCACGAAAATGACAATCTCGGCCTTTCTCACCTTTGGTTTTTGTCAAAACAGCCCGCCGCTAATTAGATGTGACTTCAGGAAGAATTTTCTCGTCTCGCTGGCGCTTTCTGTGAGCCAAAACAATTGTTTTCATTCCTTTATTTTCGTTCAGGCCTGACAGTCAAAATCTTAATTATCTGAATTGAAAAATATCCTCACTTCATCATCGTGGGGTTCTAATCTTCAACAGGTCAGGATCTGTATACAATTCAGCGGTCACCTTCTCATTCAAAGACACCCCTTTCCGAGTAATGTTTCGTTTTCCATTGTTCTAAAAAATCCCATTTCTCCAAATTGATAATGAGCTTCTACATTCCGTGGACACAAAAGTAGGCCAGATGTTTTGACCGATATTTTTATCAATCGTACGTATGTTCATCCACTTTTACCATGTCCGTTCATTATCTATAAACTTATTCCTTCAAATAACAATTTCCATTGTTCTTGAAATTCGGTCAGGCGCGTTGGCCTAGATATCTCTTGACACCTGTTTTCGCTTATGACCGGCTTTTGCATTACCCATCTCTCCCTCTCTTTTCCTTTCTTTTCCTCTTTCTTTTTCCCTTCTTCTTCCCTTAGGATCGCCTAAATACAATTGAAATTATTCTCAAAACTCAATTATTCTTCGTCTAAATAACTAACAACTGGTTAATAAACCGAATAAAAAATTAAATCATATTTCTAGGAATATTTCTTTTAGTTTTTTCTAATAATGCAGGGTGCCACATATAGCTAGTTCAACAGTAAAATGGTGAGTCCTAGTTGCCAATCTAGTAGCACGTTTAAATTCATACAGTCGGGGCATCAAGTAGGAAAGCTCATGAGATTGCCATGTATATATTTGTAGAAAAGACAGAGGGAAGCCACGTCACGTCGGTGAAAAAAGTGTCTTAAGTCGAGATGCTAGGTCAGGCTCAATTATATTACAGACTGTTATTTGAATTTTCTCAAGAATCTCGATATATATATATATATATATATATATATATATATATATAATTATTTTTTATAAAAAAAAAATTATAACATAAGTATGTTATAAAATCACTACAAAATAGCCATTTTGTTTCAACACACTCTGCTCTACTTTGTATTGAGCACTCTTTTAAGAATAGTAATTGTTGGTTATTGGAATTCATTCCGTATATACCAATAATATACTTAATATATATATATATATATATATATATATATATATATATAGTAGGAAATGCCAGACCTAATATGGCAGCTATATTCAAAGGACGGACGAATGGTAGATTTATAAATGTACAAGATGGATTCTGACACGACACAGGGAATCAACTTTCCGAGCACCAGACTTAGCAATTTGTCTCTCGCCCTTCCATACATTTGCAGTAACATCATTGAGCTTGACCTAGCCACCAAGTGAAAACAGGTAGCCAATCAATTTTACGTTGAGCAGGGTGTCTTCTAGTCAGGAAAGTAGGGTCTCTTTTCGTCATGAAAGTCAAGAAAAATCCATCTCCTCATCACCATGTATTCTTCATTGGCTTCCTGACGAGAGTCTATAAATGTATTTTGAAACAATTATTTTTCATTTTATAAAACGAAATATATATATATATATATATATATATATATATATATATATATATTAAAAAAGAAGAGAAAGGTGCCGCAAACGTTTTTGGTTGTAATGTGGATTTATTTAGAAAAAAATATTATGCTTTGTTTTACATAATTGTACTATACGTGTTTCTGGTCTCGTGACCGTCTTCAGGTAAAAGCGGAGATTTCCATATATTATTAAAAATAATTAATTTTTTCTTTTGTTTTTCAATGTTAAATATTCTCGATATGAGACATTTTGTGTGTTAGTTACCCGAATTTCTTTCTTGAATTAACAATGAAGAGTTCTGCGCGAAGGGTCATAAAACTATTAAGGTTGGTCCAAGCGAAATGATGAATTGCTTATCGGCATTTTATCTTTTAATGTTTTACTGACACTGACCCCTATCTGTTTCCATTTTTGTGTGTTTCTGTCAGCATGCGTGTATATATATATATATATATATATATATATATATATAATTTTGTAAAAAGAAATAAAATTGGTAACTAATATTCGAGAAAACTGACTCCTTACACTCGAAAACTTTTGCTTCTTGCCATCTGTGAAAGGCATGAAAACTAATTTTAATGTGAGAACATATACTTCTAACATTGACTCCCCTCTATATTTGATGCCCCGCACTGTCCACTGTAGTTGATATCCTCCCCATTAGTAACACTTTGTTGACGAGTTGGCTTCTAACGTTCTTCTGCAGCTCGTAATGAATTTTGCATGACCTTGAGTTTGAGACCACCAACATGAACGGAAGCTAACCAATGGCATGTCCTTCTCTGATAGATCCAATTTTGTAATACTTTTATTCACTCGTATTAAAATATAAAAACACAGTAGGCTCACACAATGGGCTCCAAGCAGACATTTGAGGGTTTTCATCCTCCTAAATGATTTTCACATCAATTAGGTTTTGCTGATTCATTGCCTGGTTCGTTTTCAACGGCTTATCAACCCTTTGCGGCTTATTTAAATCCAGAAAATATTTTCAAATTATTAGGTTGGTGCAAAAATAATGACGTAATAATGTCGTTTTTGACGTATTTTTTAACGTCAAAAAACGACATTTCATTATTTTTTCAACCATATTCTCTTTAATTGCTTTTAGAGATAATAATGACTTGGTTATAGACATCTTACTAATTAAACCATAGCTGAAGGAGAAAAGGTGGTTCCATACTTTTACAAGGATACTTGTGCAAAAGTGAATATAATGACCTCAATGGGAATTGGATCTCGGCTCTCCCATTCAAAATTTCGAGCCATTATTCATTACACCACCTGCACATCTAAGTTTATAGCATATGGTAATTTCAAGTGGTCACCGATCCAGGTACTGATCAGGTTTGATGTTGCTTAACTTCAGAGATCGTACGGGAACCGGTGTTTCAACGTAAGCCAGATTTGTTATGGAACAGTCCTTTCTACATAAGCGGAAGATTAAAACAAAACTTTCACGTTTGTAATAAAAAGTGGGGGTTACGTCTAGAAGCCCTGGTCTGCATTGAAGATCCATATGAGACCGGAAGTATGTGACAGCCAATGAGGATCGAACTCACTGCACACCACGTCGAGGTGCACTGGGGATTTTCTAAGTGCAGTTTAGTTGTGGCTCAAGGTCGAAAGTACGGGGCACCCACTGATTCGCTAACGTATGAATGGAAATTTGTAAGTTTTAAATATCTTCCCGAGAACAATTTTCTTACATGTTGCAGATTTGTCTAAATCATTTGGGAACTTACATAAAAACAAAGATAAAAAAAATTGTCTCTGCTATATTTTGTTAGTGTTATTCAATGCTGGGAGGGGTCAGCGACAAAAAGTTAGGTAAAATATGAAAAGAATTGTCTTAATTTGATTTAATTTTGTGTTGTTGGTTGGTTGATTTTTTTTGTTTAGCGGCATATCAACACCTCTATGGGTTATTTAATGCCGAAATCTAAATATTTTTTACGCAATTTTATTTTATTTTTGGAGATAAAAAGGGTTTAGAGACACAAGACTTACTAATTAACCCATAGCTAGAGGGAGAAGAGGTGGATTCATACCGTCCCCAAGAGTATTTGCGCGGAAGTGAATATAACGAACACGACTGGAATTGGAACTCGGCTCTCCAATTAACAATTCCTAGTCATTATTGGTTACACATCCCACACATCCAGGCTTACTGCGCCTAGTATTCTCAAGCGGTCACCCATTTCGGTACTGACAAGGCTTGATTGTGTCAGGATAGGACATTTCATCGCCGCCGATTCCGACTCAACACCGGCCAAATCATCTCCGTAACAACTCACCAACGACCTACTCAGCGCGAGGACATCTCAACGCCGGCGTCGAATTCGTAGCTTCAGACCCGGTGTTGACTGTTATAGTGTGCACATCTATTAGATTGGCTTTGAATCGTAGAGATTTTGAAAAGTTTTGCTTTTTGTTTTAGTGGTTTATTAGTTACAACAACCTCTTTGGCTGACTTGTGTTTCATTTTCAAGATCGGATTAATAACCCTGCTGAAGCAGCAAATAGAATACTGCACACAGAGTCGGGGGTGGAGCATCACACAATATGGCGATTAATTGTGCGGTTGCAAAAGGTGCAAAGAAACTGTTATGGTCCGGTTCCTTGTACCACGGTGATAGTCCAAGGTAGAACCAATAAAGAAGAACTCGAACACGGATATGGAATAACACAGATATATTACAAACAGGAATATATACAGAGAAGTAGAAAGTGTTAGTACGAACAATCAGGTTTAGTAGTAATTGTCTGAACGTGACTCTGTATCGGACTGACTCTGACTTGACTGACTCGCTCGCTCTGACTGACAGACTCCTGACGGACTTCTGACGGACCTCATTCCAGACTTCAGACTGAACTCTAGACTTCAGACGGAACAGTATTTAGTCACCACCCCCACGAGGGCATCATGTGGCACAAGGCCGGTTTAACGTGAGATCTCCGAGCCCGTTGGCTCGGCAAAAATATAACCCTTTGAACCCGTATAAACGGGTTCAGGGTTGGTTTACCTCCCCGAAAGAGACTCCGCCCTTCGGCGTAGCCTCCTTCAGGTTCCTCCCCGCCCTAAGGCAGAGAGTTCAAACGATTGTCGCCTCTAAGTGTTGACTTCAATGTTCACGTTTTATATATATATATATATATATATATATATATATATATATATATATAACGTTACGATTCATTTTTCTATCAAACGTTTTAGTAGTGAAAAGCTCCAGGGAATTTATCCTGAGGAGCGAAATGGCCATAAAAATGGGGTACAATTGAATTTCATTTTTACAGAATTCATATCTATGCTCCATAATAAATATATTGTGCTCTCTTTTGTGGATCTGTTTTAATATTTTATAATAATATATTAATAGGATTCACTTGGATTAGTTACCCACGGATTCTACCTAATATATATATAAACAACATAACAATATATATATAAACAATATATATATGAACAAAATGACAATATATATATATATATATATATATATATAAACAGCATAATATATATCAGCAATATATATATAAACAATATATATATTTATATTGTTATATTGTTTATATGTTGCTATATTGTTTATATATATTTTGTTATATAATTTATATATATATTGTACACACACACACACACACACACACACACACACACACACACATATATATATATATATATATATATATATATATATATATATAAATGCGTGTGTGTGTGTGTATGTATATAACAAAAGAATGGCAACGTAAATGTAATCCACCAACCGACCGTACTATTGACAGTGAATGGAAAATCCTCGGGGATTTCACAACACAAAAAGATCGATATTTAAGACATAACAAATCGGATATCATTCTGATCAATAAATATTTAAAGAGAAAATCCATTGATCTTTAACATTACAGAATGAAACAATTTAGAGAATGGTCGCCCCACCAAAAACTGCAGACGACACTGAAAAGACAAAGGAAACTAAATAAAGAAAAATTAAACCGTGTTATTAAATACAATTTGTATCCAGTAAAATAGAATAATTATATTTACTTGGGTTATCAGCTGACACATCTTTTGGTTTAAATTTATTAGGTGATTAGATACACGAGTATTTATTATCCTTATATTTATAGAGGCAGGATTTATTGTCACTATTTAAATTCCTTCCGTTCGTGAAAAAAATTTAAAATTAGGGAGTGTAATAATTTTTGTTAATTAGACCTTCCTTTATCCACACATTGTCAGAATCCATAATTATCCGATTTTAATTAAACTTTCAGGTCTTATTCACAAATGAATTAGATTATTTTAGAAATGTTTAACCTTGTAAAACTATTTTTTTTACATCGGTTACACACACATGCACACTTATTTAATTTTAAGAAATTTCTAAAAATCCATTTTTGTAGGACTTAATATTTATATTAGTTATAAGCAAAAGTCCTTGGAGAATGTAAATCATTACTTTTTTTATTTTTTTATTTTTTTATTTTTTTTTATTTTTTGTAAAACAGGGCCCTCAATTACCGAAAATCTGTTCTGAATCTTTAAAAAAGGAGGCACGGTGGAGTAATGGAGCTGAGTTCGGATTCCAGTCGAATCCATTGCATTCACTTACGTGCTAATATCCTTGGGAAAGATATGATTCTTCTCCCTTTAGCTATGGGTAAATAGCAGGGCAGACCGGGTTCTATAGTCTACTGCAGAAGGAAATGGCAACCTAACACGGGAAAAATTCTGCCTCATCAGTCATGTATCGAAAGATACATGATCGCCTAATTGTTTATCATGCATAGTACATAACTGAATACATTTTTTTATTCAGACATATATTTCAGGGACGAAAAATATTGATTTTTATCATTTTAGAAATAGATTGTTATACTGAGAATTCCATAGACTGAACATGTGATTAACGAGGAAGTTTTAGGGAATATGGAAAAAAAAAAGGTATGATGATACTATGGACACCCACATAGAAAGGGAAAATATGGTTTTAGCTTGATCATAAGTGTTTATGTTTGATAAAGCAGCAGATTGTTCCTTTTGAAGTTCGGTCTTCTAAGCGGCATCCACTTTAACCAAACGGTAATTGGAAGTAAAGCGATGGATGAAGAGTTTTAATGGGTCAAGTGGCTACAATACTGGAAACACCTTATATCAGGTGCTGGTCTATATTAACAGTCATGCTTGGGATCGAGGGGAGTGCTGGTCCGTCCTTGGCGGGAAGACGGACGAATCCGTGTCGCGGTTCCAAGACCGCCATTGCGTATTGCTATCCACCACATCGGGATGAAGAGTTGTTAGGGGGAAAACCTGACATAGCAGAAGTTGTCCCAAGTATCACCTACCTACCCACTCTGACCAGCATACGAAGCCCTGAATAAAATAACCTACATGTCATATGGGAAACAAGGTTCGAGTTCTTATTTCTCGATTTGGCGTTTATCTTTCATCTTGTTACCTTATGACTGTTGTAGTTCCAGTAGCAAGTAGGTTTTTACAGGGTGGTGTTGCTAAACCTTCACCAAATTGGTTTTAAATTCAGTTGTCATTCTCCTAGATTGGTTGCCAACCAAAACTAGAAACGTTAGCTATAGATTGTGACACTATGGACACCCACGTAGAAAAGGAAAATCTCGATAGATAGACGTTACAATTTTAGTTTTCAAAGCGGTATCCACTTTAACCAAAGGGGAATGGGAAGTAAAGGGGTAGATGAGGGATTTTCAGAGATCAAGTGACAAGAAAATCGGATATATGGTAAATCCGTCTGCTGGTCTATATTAAAAGCCATGCTTGAGATCGGGAAATGTTCTGGTTCACCTTTGGTGGAAAACGGACATGAAATAGAATAGATGGTCGAGGAGTTGTTAGGGGGGAAACTTGTCATAGCAGAAGTTGTCCCAAGTATCACCTACTACCCACCCGGATGATCAGGCAAAATCCTGAACAAAACACCTACATGTAATATGGAAAACAAGGTTCGAGTTCTTATTTTTGGGCTTGGATTGTTTTTTTTCTTTCATCGTGTTACCTTATGAGTATGCAACACGCCCTTCCCCAGCTTTCAGTGCACACCGACGAAATCGAGGATCGAAATGCAACGTGGTGTAATCTTTGGCCGGTCTGTGGGAAGCTTGGACGCGTTGTAATGTAAAAGGACAGTTATACTTAAAATAAAAAACAACTGTTGATCATTACAATCTTGACCTCTGCAAATCTATAGTCAACCGTTATCTAGTCCTGGGTATGACAAAAAACTACATCCGGCAGCAAGAGAGATTGAAGGTTTTGAGAAGCGTGGAACCACCGCTTAATTGTTGTTTTTCCCAGGTTCACCGTGACCCGGCGTGGTAGCCCCTGTTAGGGTCCCAGCTATGGGCAAATAGT